TCCGGTCCTTTAAGTCGCATACATTCCTGTTCAGTGCTGCAACTGGACCTCGTCAGTGTGACGGTTTCAGCAAAAATAACATGCAGAGTGGCGAATGTTTGTTTGTACGAGCAGTCTTTGTCCCTTCAGAAATGTTAAATTTTGTTGCAGGTTGGTACCACGGTAACTATAGAGAATTTGTTTGAAACGCTTCCCGTAAGACGGAAAGAATTCGAGCGAACCGTCAAAAAAGCATTCGCTAAACTTCTAACTGTTGTACAGTCGTTTGCGTTGTCAAGAACAGATGTACGATTTGTTGTGAACAGCTTGATGCCTGGGTTCGTCCTCATTTTCGATTTCAACTTCAAGCAAACGCGACTGCAGCAGCGCTGCTCTCGGGCTGTTGCTCTTCGTCCTAATATTTCAGCTTTCTAGCTTTTCTGGCCCCCGAAATTGTGAAGTGGTTGGTCGTGTGTTTGTTGACCGTGTGATTTTATTACACCATGTAAAAAACTTAATTTTACCGTTATTCTTCATTGGACTCTAGTGGATTGGCAGCGAGTAAAAATCATCATCCTATTTTAATTCAGCGTTACAAAATTTTTTGACTGATCATCTGGTGTTAATACACAGCGTAAACATTCAGTCCAGCATTTGCTACGCCAGTTATTATAGGGACGAATCACTCGGTTTTTATTTGCTTCATACACACATACGAGTACTACATTTCCACCACTTTAATCCAGCAATGGAAAGTATGATACAACGTTTTTCACAGAGAGACTGCATCGTAAAATATCACCTTACTACTACTACATCTAAACGATGAAAGACAATTTGCACCGTAAAATATCACCTTACACATGAAACGCCTGAGTACACAATCCTTCTGGTCTATTATTTCAGCTTGCAGAGTTTTTTAACTTGAAGAATTTTACGCGAATCCTGCCGTGTGATTCTTCCGCCAGCATCATTATGCCTCGATAACTGAGTTTCCCCGATGAATGGCTTTATGTTAGGGCAATTTTAATTTTAGTTGGTATGTGTTTATGTAAGATGTAAGGAAATAAAACAGGAAATGTGAATAAGTTAAGATTAAAATCTGAATGGGAATGTTTCGGTCCATTATGTATTCTTGGCAAGATGAATGGCTTCATGTTAGAGCTATGTGTTCTTTGAATGTCGTAATACCTTGGCGCATTTTAGTAAGCAGCATCAAGCACTGGTAACGCCTGGTGGTAATGCAACAATTAAAGATGTCATTGTGAGCCTCTTCGGTGCGCGTTTTGAAAAAGGAACAATTCTGGACATTGTTGAGCAGCATCCAGATGAGTCTGTATGCGCACTGTATGGTATTTCTGATCAGTCGAAGTTTGATGACATCAGGTAAGTCCTAAATTTTTTTATGCGTTTTGTGCTGTGTAACAGCAGTACAAAAAGCATATTGTCACGGGGTTGTCTGTGTGTTTGTGTGTGTGTCGGCAGCAACTTGTCCGCAACTTTCAACTCGGGAACCACGAAAGCTTGGAAGCTGGAAGTTTAGGGGAACGTTCCCCACTCATGTGTGACCCCACAAATTTAAATTCAGCTTCCCCATACTTGCGGGTAACGCGTATGGCCCTGTGAAAGTTTTTACGAGTTGGAACCACAGAGTCTAGGAAGCTGAAATTTTAGGGTGATGACACCCTGCCCATGCTCAACCTTGCCCATTCAATTTCAGCTTTCCCGCACTCTCGGGTATCACCTACGGGCTAGTGAAAGTTTTTACGGGTAAATTATTAATTTGTGATAAAGATATTCACTCTTCCAAGGTTTTGAATTCAGCTTTCGTGCACTGACGCATAAAATTTTTAACTGTTTTCCAGATACTCCTTCAAGGTTTCGAAATCAGCTTTCATACGCTGGTGCGTGAAATTTTTAACTGTTTTTCAATGTTAGAACTATTTTTGCATAGACTAAAGTACAAAGCAGTGAAAATCATTAATAGGCAATCGTTCGATGGGTATTTTTGCATAGACTAAAGTACAAAGCAGTGAAAATCATTAACAGGCAATCGTTTGATGGGCTGAATTGCAAAAAACGCATGATCGCACCGGCTTGTCTGGTGCGCGTTGCTATTTATTTTCCCTGGCTTCGGTTTTTGTTTGTTTCCCCCCTCCCCCTTCCCCTTCCCTCCCCTCCATGCGCATCAGCTGTTTCACATGAAATATTAAACTCGAATCTTCCCATTCCATTCTATCTGTTAAGGCAATTGTGGACCTAGCATTTTTTCGTGCTAGAATACGAAATGGAAGCAGAGAAATGAAAACGTGGATCTGTAGACTGACCACTGGGGATGCACTTGAGGTGCTAGTTCTCTTTGAACAAATGGGTGTTACATTATGAAGCAACATCGACTGATCAAGGCGTCAAAATAATTTTTTTTTTCAAAATTTTTGCTATTTTTGGAAATTTGAGCACCAATGTTTGGTTATTTATAGGATCAGCGGCTACGTGAGTTCCTGTGTTCACGGACAGGGGAGGAGTAGCGCCGATCGGCAGTTTGTT